CTCCTCCTCCTCCTCCTCCTCCTCCTCTCCTCCTCCTCCTCTTCCTCCTCCTCATCCTCCTCTTTCTCCTCTTCCTTTTCTTCCTCCATCTCTCCATTCTCTCCACGAGAGGCGCAATGACTGCATGGCTTTCTTTCACCGCAGATCACCGAGTTCATGGATAAGGAGATTCCTGATTCGCTTAAGACGTCGTACAAGGATCCGACCATGAACAGCTACACGGAAGCGTGGGACTGGATGCAGGTTACCCTGGTGCGTCACACACACATCATCATCATCATCATCATCATCATCATCATCGTCATCATCATCATCTTGCTAATCAGCATCACTGTCCCATAGATATCTTATGTGCATCATCATCATCATCGTCATCCTCACCATCGTTATATACACTTGATAATATATATATATATATATATATATATATATATAATATAATATATAATATATATATATATATTATATACTATAATAAATATAGTATAGAAAAAATAGAATGAGGTGTCAAATTTTAAACATATATTAAATAAATAGATAAATAAATATATTATAAGTATATATATAGTTCATATAATATATATATATATATAATATATATATATATATATATATATATTATATCAACAGACAGTTTAGTGAACGACACTCTATAGGTAGAAACCATATCTTTCACTTACACGCGACATTGTGTGTGTATGTAGTGTGTGTGTTGGTGTATGCTATGGTTATGTGTAATAATATGTGCTCGTGTATTATATGTACATCGGTGTGATAGTCTGTAATGTTGCATCGCATGCATTGCCACGCACGCACGCACGCACGGCACGCACGCAACGCACATCAACGCACGCACGCACACACGCACGCATACGTAACGTAACGTACGTACGTACGTAATGGTGTTGTGTATTGTCTGGTGTATGATATGTATGTATGTATGTATGTATGTAGTGATGTATAGTAATGTATTGTATGTATGTATGTATGAGTATGTATGATATGTATTATGGTAATGTATTATGTATGTATGTATGTATGATATGTATGTATGTATGGTGTGTGTGTGCGTGTGTGATCGTGTGTGTGTTGTTGTGTGTGTGTGTGGTGTGGCTGTGTGTGTGTACGGTGCGTGCGTGCTCTGCTGCGCGTGCGGGTTGCGTGCGTGCGTGCGTGCGTGCGTACTGTGCGTCCTGTGCACGTGCGTGCGGTTCGCAGCTGTTGCATGTAAGTACGTACGTAATGTGTTAGTATGATATGTATGTATGTATGTATGTATGTAATGTATGTGTTGTATTATTGTCTTATGTATGTCTTGTACTGTATGTATGTTATGTATGTATGTCATGTATGTCATGTATGTATGTATGTATGTTATGTATGTATGTCATGTATGGTATGTATGTATGATATGGTACTGTATGTATTATGTATGCTGTATGTGAATTATGTATAGTATGTATGTATGTAATGTACTGTATGTATGTATGTATGGTATTATGTATGTGTCGGCCGTATGAGCCGTGCTGTGCGCTGCCCGTGCGTGCTGCGTGCGTGCGTTGCGGGCGTGCGTGCATGCCCATGTAATGCTACGTACGATGTATGTGTATGTTGGTATGCAGGAATGCTGCGGTACGACAGCGTTAAGAACTACAGCGGTAAAACATCTACTAGTCAGGATGAAGATAAGGTTGCCGGTCACTTGCTTGATACGATGAGACCCCTGGAAGCCTCCTTCGAGGCGGGCGGCTACAACCGGTGAGTCATTTCATGATGACATCGTAGTTCTTTTTAGACACGGAGGTGGTTCTGTNCTTCCTCCACCTCCTCCTCCTCCTCCTTCTCCTCCTCCACCACCTCCTCCTCCTCCTCCTCCTCCTCCTCTTCCTTCTCCTCCTCCACCTCCTCCCCCTCCGCCTCCTCCCTTCCCCTCCCCTTCTTCCTCCTCCTCCTCCTCCTCCTCCTCCTCCTCCTCCTCCTCCTCAACCTCGTCCCCCTCCTGCTCCACCTTCTCCTCCACGTTTTCATCTACATTCACCTTTATCTCCTACTCTGTTTAAATAATAATAATAATAATAATAATAA